TTTTTTTTTTCTGTTGTTCTCCAAGGTACTCTCCTTAGTGCTTCGAACCAAGGTACTCTCCTTAGTTCTTCGAACCAAGGTACTCTCCTTAATGCTTCGAACCAATTGTTTGGCCATTTTGCTTTCATCCATCATTTATTTTTTCATCTGCTGCTGATGCTAGGGGGGGTGCAAGTCCCCTGAGGGGCAATTACGGCTTCTCAAGGGTGGTGCACTCTGACCTCAAATGGGGAGAGCAGGTAAAGAGTTTGTTAGCCTGGTATTTGCCTAATCAGGATCGTCTCCTTTATTAGGATAGCTCTAGGATGCTAGCGTGGTTGCAAGTCCCCTGAAGGCCGACTACGGCTTCTAGGATAAGCTTCGCAAGAGTTGATCTGTTACGATTGTAGCTTTGCTTTCATAGACAGCAAATGTCTACTATTCTGTTTAACAGTAGTAGGATGCTGTTATGCTTTCTTGCTTTCTGTTTAACAGCAGGATGCCGTTATGTTTTCTTGTTTGAAGGGATCGAGGATATGGCACCCGGTAGGCAGACTGTGAAGGCCCCAGCCTCCCATTTACAGTGGAATGAATTCCCGGTCAGAAAAAGACGCCGGTGGGGGGTAGACAGGCAGTAGGTTGGGAGGGAAGAAGCGCCAAGCTCAACAGAGAGTCCTCACTGAAGTCTGGAGCACGAAAGTTAAGGCGCAATGTCTGAGCGTTACCCGTTTGTATGGTAGCTGGCATAATGTCCTATTTCAGAATTAGGCAAACACCAGGTCAACTGACTGCCAAGCTTCATTTTTCATTTCTTGTTTTTGGAGAATTTTTGTAGGGCGCCGATCTTAAAACCACCAGTACCGTTCTCAGCTATTGATGCCGAGCCTGAAAATGCCCTGCGCGTCAATATTTGCCGAGCCTGCAAGGGGCGGGAACCAAGACGGGACATTTGTTGCTTGGCACAGGTGCCGCCCCTTATGCTGGACCTGCTGCCAGCTGCTGGACCCTAAAGAGGCTGTCGTTTTCTTGCTTCTGCTTGTCTACCTGAAAATGGCCTCAGCAGAAGTGCCGCCAGATCCATTCCCGAGAGCTCGCTGGCAGGTATTGAATGCTCCCCATCTGTCACAGGGAGTTGTAGCATGAACTGTTGGAATAAGTACCTGAGTTCGAATCCAGCTGGAATCAAAGATGATATCTCAAGGCTATCGACCTTTTTTGTTTTTGTTTTTGTTTTGGGGGGGTGAGAGGGGGGAGGAGGGGGATCATCGCACCGAAACACAACTCACTCTCAATCAACGGCCCCCTCGCATACATATAATGAAACCGGAGCTGAGTCGTAAAAATCAGATGAATAAAAACAACTCTGCTTTCCCTGGAGGTGGTCAACTCAAAGATGATATTTCAAGGCTGTTGCCAATTGGGAGGAGGGGGGGAATAAAAAATCATTACGCCAAAATGCAACTCACTTGCCCTCCATGGTCCCCTCGCATACATATAAGAAACCCAGAGCTGACTCATAATCAGGAGCAGCAAACACAAACATACTAGCCAGCAAGAGCTGCAGGACAAAAAAAAATAAAAAAAATGAACAAGGGAGCAATTGAAACAGAGACAGAGCGAGAGGCCTGCGCAGAGATGGAAAGACGGCAGACAGTAGGCCTTGCTCCACTACACAACACTCTACATGCATTGGGATGCTTTCTCGGCCATGTGCATTCGGATAAATTGAACATTTGAACGTATACGGTCACACGAGTGTCCAAATGCATGCCGAGTGTTGTGTAGTGGAGCGACGCCCGGTGAGGACAGATGGCAAGCAGCTCTACAACACACACCATATATCTATCCTCCCCTCCCTCTCACTCACAACCACCACTGTCAACTCCCCTCCCAACGATACACTCGCATGCATTTGGACGCTTGCGTGACCTTATACATCCAAACGATACACATATGCTCTCTCACACAAACACGGCCTTGTATGTTTCACAAATTTTGAGGAGTTAAAAGGGAATCACATGCATTAAAAAGAAAAAAGAAAAAAATGAAAAGAGGGTAGCTGATTGATCACACACATAATGTGTTGAAGTGCTGAGATATTGATTAGTTGGATGGATCGAATTCTTTCCTCGAGATCGATGGCCACTGCTGCAGAGCAGACATGAGGGTCACCGAACGACATTCTTCAACTTGTCACAAATCAAATGGATGGATGATAATTTCTGTAAAAAATTAATCCCCGCTTCACCTAACTGTGTCCCTGATGATAGGCTGGGAATCAAATTAACAAGGAAAACTAAATTAAGAAAAACTACAGCGCGCCAGCAGTCAAGTCCCCATAATCAACTGCCGTCATTTTTTTCCCAACAGAGACTATCCTTTTTTTCTGAACACTCTTACAAAAATACAAGTGCGTCGATGATGACAAATATGCAAAGGAATCCTGCTACTGACCACCTACAATTCCTACATGTCATAATCCTATATACCGGATGTTGAGAGCTCTACCACCTCGCCAGTCTACACTCCCTCCGCTCACCCCTTTTTCGCTTCCACTGCCATCATCCAAATCATTCAAGAGGCCTCCATAGACGCATCCAGTGTGTCATTTAATCTGCTGCTGCTGCTGCTGCTGCTTCCCACAAGCTTCAACCCCTACATCTGCTCCACGACAGCCACTGCCTCACAGAGCATCCCCCACCATACTCGCAGCATAGAAAAGAATTAATATTCAGACAGGCGCATACCTGGAACTGCACCACTAAAAGATGCTAATGATCACTCTTTCGCTGACCCCCCGCCTCACTCCCACCCACTCCTCTCCTTACCACTTCTACCCAATTATCGCTACCTGTTTACGCAGACATGGACCACTCTCACACAGCTCTCTCTGGCAACACCCCCTTTGTAACGCATCAATTCACCTCCTGCCAATTCAACCTTGTAAACTTCCAACTCATAACCAATCAATATTTTTCTTCACGAGAACCCAGGGGGGCGCACACACACACACACACACACACACACACACACACACACACACACACACACACTACAAAGCACACATGATGGTCCATGCCTGCAAGCAAGCTCGGGCTTCCGAGAGGACAAAGACAGCAGCGTGTTACGCCGTCCATCGGATAATGCCATCACCCTCTCCAGGAGCTGCAAGAATCTCCACTGCTACGTCAAACCTCACCTGCATGCAGTATGATCGAAAAAGGAATCATCAACAGTACACAAGATCAATACAAGAATCTGTCCCTTATTACCGTCAACGGAAAGAAAAACCTTGGCTTCCTAGAATTGAATGAAACCATGACCATCTGCTCACATGAAGAAGGGGAAAACAAAGAGACGTGCGCTACTAGGTGGACTTGAATACATAATTGGAGAGAAGCAAAGGAACCAAGAGTTTGCACAAGTTCCAACAGAGGGCCTAGATCCACCACTGACCATATGCACAAATGACAAAAAATACTGTGGTGCATCTTTCCATGTTCTAGCGGAAGATTCTTTCTCATTTTGCAGATTTGGTCAGTGGTGAACCGAGGGCCAAACTCTCCGCTACGAAAGGACGATGGCAACAAGACCCTCGTAAGGAAGAGTGATGAAGGTAAGGTGTGGCATGGCATACTTGCAGATGCCCTGCCATCTTCCGTGAACCGTGGTCCAGTGGACCAGAAAAGGAGAAAGTCAAAAGGGCTCCTCAGCTGAGGAGTGTAGCACTGAGAAGAGCCTCAGCCAATAACAGAAAATAAGGACCTCACCAGTGAAGGGAAGAAAGCATACATTTAGTTCAATATGGGGCGATGCATCAATGGGGTTCCATGCATTCGTTGGCTTGCCGGTTGGAAAAAGAGGCAGACTGACAATCCCCAAAATAGGACCGAGCTGAGCTTTACTTGATTTGCTGTGTGGGTGTGGGTGTAGGTGAGAGGGAGAGAGAAGATAGGAAGCACAATTGTCTGCAAATGCCACTCCGTGCACAACCCCTTCCCGAGGGAGAGAGAGAGAGAGGGTGTCGGGGACAAGGAGAGGCAAAAAAAGAAAGAGCACAATCACCTCCTGCTGCCACTCCTCGCCCGCCGTCTTCCCACGTCCTGCAACCACCATATAGGAAGCACAATTGCCTGCAAATGCCACTCCGTGCACAACCCCTTCCTGAGGTAGAGAGAGAGAGGGTGCGGGGGACAAGGAGAGGCAAAAAAAGAAAAGAGCACAATCACCCTCCTGCTGCCACTACCCGCCCGCCGTCTCCCCACGTCCTGCAACCACCACCCTCCCCCGCTACCCGCCCGCTACATAGTGGGGGACAAGGAGAGGCAAAAAAAGGAGGAGCACAATCACCTCCTGCTGCCACTACTCGCCCGCCGTCTCCCCACGTCTTGCAACCACCACCCTCCCCCCGCTACCTGCCCGCTACATACCTCCACTTCTGGCCTGCTGAAGTCCTTCACCACCTATGTGCAGGGGCACAGAAGAGAGACATAGAGGCTGCACCTACCGCCGTCATCTCCCACCACCACCTACCACTTCCTTCCGGCCATCGCCCTGTGCCACCTGTGCACGGAAAGCCCCATGCCCTAGATCTCCCATTGCCACCAACTGACAAGTGAGGGAGAGACGAAAAGGGAAGTGCAATCACCTCCTGCTGCCATGCCTTGCATGCCCTCCTGCAACCACCCACTACCTACCTGCTCCATTTCTCTGCCTCCTGCCTACTATACATCATCTGTGCCAGGCGGGGGGAGGAGGAGAGAGAGAGAGAGGTGAGAGAGGTGATATGTCTCCACTCACCTTCACTTCCACCATCACCTCCACTCCCACCTCCCCCAGCACTCCTCCTTCCCCAACAACCTCCACCACAAATCTGCCAGCTCCTCCCCTTACCTCTCTAAAAACTAATAAAAAGATGATGCGTGCGATTGACAGACACCGAGGGAGGCAACCGGTCCCCCAAGAAAGCAGAGAGAGAGAGAGAGACCTCTCAAGCTCTCTCCCAACCTCCCCCTCGGTCCCCCCCCCCCCCCTACATGGTCTGCCACACCTTCCCTGCATCGCATTGCATAAAATCACCTCCCTCCCCCAACCCTCCATCTGGCGCTACTATCTCTTGCTTCGCTGAGACTGCCTCTGTGCCCATGTGAATTTGGCCAGGAGGAAGAGAGAGAGAGGGAGAAAGGCGGGCAGAACGAGAGAGAGGTGAGATCTCCATTATATCTTCCTGTCTCTCTCTCTATGTCGAGAGTTATCCTTCTGCTCAACGAAAAGCGTGGGATGGAATCGGGGAAAGCAGCCGCAGATGATCGGAGAGATCATTATGCGTTCAATGGGTTTTCCTGATTTTCCGTGTCTATTTTTTTGCAAGTGTAGCCACAACAGGTCATCTTAGCCTACTGGTAATCTCCGTAGGGCTGGAAGGCGAGGGGGTTGTCAAGCTGACATCCTACTATCCTGGGCTGAGAGGAACGCCCATACTTCTTGAGATTGGAGATTCGTTTTGTTTGTTGTTTTTGTAGATGTCATGAACGCGTACATGGGAGTGGATTCTGACATCCCGCTAGCATCAGCTGAGAAGAATGCCTAATTCACGAGTTCGAAGATTCATTTTGTTTGGTGTCTACATGTTCATGTCCGTGGATTGTAGTGTAATGAACCCAGTCTGGTAGATACTCAGAAGTCGTCAAACATCAGTAGTCTCATTATCTGCATCAAAGTCTCCAAATCGTGAAGTGATATCTGAAACAATATCTCATTACCATCAAAGAAGAGAGTGGAGGGGGAATAGACAAAGGAGAAGATGAAAGATCACACAGTAATAAACACTTCGGACCCCTCTCCTTCTCTGGGCTTCTTCCCTCTCCACGTCGACAATGATAATAAGTTTATTCCTGATCACACACAATAGTGCCACGTGGCACTTAATCTGTGAAGGCCATGAAGACATAACAGATTCCAGTGATGACATCAACCTCAGGTGAGTACCCACCTCCTTCATCCACAGATCCCGATCTTCCTCCTCCTCACAACCAGTCACCTCATGTAGACAGCGTGGACAATGCCACGTCAACAGTCGAGACAGGTGGCATATGCCACATCAGCAATGGAGACCAGTGGCAGCGCCACATCAACATGCACTATAAACCAGAGGCAGCGCCACTTCAGCATGCAATGTAGACCAGAGGTAACGCTACATCAGCATGCACTGTAGACCAGAGGTAGCGCCACATCAGCATGCAATGTAGACCAGAGGTAGCGCCACATCACCATGCAATGTAGACCAGAGGAAGCGCAACATCAGCATGCAATGTAGACCAGAGGGTAGCGCCACATCAGCATGCAATGTAGACCAGAGGGTAGCGCCACATCAGCATGCAATGTAGGCCAGAGGTAGCACCACATCAGCATGCAATGCAGACCAGAGGAAGCGCCACATCAGCATGCCACCTCAACAAGCTTGGTGCACAATGCAGAAAACGCCAGCATGCCGCCTCCACCTTGTGCCGTCGTCCACATCGCGAATGCACAGCCAGCGTTTAGCCAAGTAGCAATTGTCGAGGGTGTCTGGCCTCGGGTGCTTTCCCCACAGTCGTCCAGATTGACTCACAGTTGAGGGCCCAGATTGTGCAGTTGCAGACTTCTCCCTTGGACCTGATGCTGTCTGGGTCCCTGCATACAAACAAGTGTGTGTGCTTGACCAGCGGCCTGGGCTGGGTACCTTTGGACTTTGACTGTTGGGATCTCGACAGTTGACAAAAGTCAACTGCCACACGTCCAAACCCTGAGTCCTTGTGTGGGGTCCTTTTTCCCTTGTTTCGGCCTGGGCTGAGGGCGGCCGAGTTGGCCCTCGGTCTTTCCACGAGACATATGGCATGGGTTATTACGTTCCTGCCGACCCGGTTTTCGAGTTCCATCGCAGAAAATACATTAATTCTCACTTAACCCACGTTCCTATGCAGCAACAATGTGAGGAGCAGTGGGTAGGAGTTCTTTCCTACTAAACCATCTGGCTTCAAATGGAGGTTGCGACTTGAACTTTACCTTGTACTGCTTCTGAGATCGTCCTTTGCCACCTGTAGAAAAATAGTCCTGCTCCAATATCCTTTCAACTTCATAGCCTCCATTCATAGAGGGTGGAAATGGAGATGGTCTATTCAAAAAGTTATCACTTTCTACATAGGGTAGAAGTTTAGACGCATGAAAGACAGAGTATGTCCTTAGATGTGAAGGTACATTTATACGATAGGAAGGTCCATCTTCTCCTCCAATCACTTTGAGAACTTCCCAAGGTCCGTAGTAGACAGGTAGAAGTTTTTGAGACACATTTTATTCTAAGGAAAACTCTTTAGACTTAACCCAAACAAAGTCCCCTTCTTGGAACTGAAGGACGACGATGTTTACGAGCTTGTTCTATCATTTGCAGGTGGGATTTCTGTATGTTTTCCTTCACCTTCTTGATGTCTTCTTCGTACAAAACTGTGAATTCACGCGGACCTGGGGGTAGTCTTTGAATCTGGTCCCTGGTTAGTGCATCAATGGGACGCCTTGGCTTCCATTCTTTATGCAGTGCGTTAGGCGTTCTACCTGTGACGATATGTATATTGTTATTATAAACACTAACTAACAATTTTAGGCGAGTTTTCATCCCAATCAATCTGGTCAGGACGGACATGCATTCGCAAGAGTTGTTGGCGGAGACGATTCATTTTCTGAATATGGCCATTCGTTTCAGGATGTCGGCTTGACGACATGGTCAACTTAGTCCCATAAACTTCCATCAATTTCTGCCATTGTAGACTGGTGAACCGAACATCTCTTTCGGATACGATGGTTTTGGGAAATTCATACTCAGAGACCCATCGCATTTGAAACTTAATGATAGGACCCCAAATAGGATCATTCCCATAACCCTGGCGGATCTGTTCTTTCAATTCATTTCTGATATCGAGATAGGAGACAATGGTTCCAAAGAAATCTGCAAGCCTGGACAAAGCATCCGCAACCACGTTAGACTTACCTTTGATGGTTTTCACCTCAAAGTCAATTCTGTCAAGGAAAGCGGACCACCTTACCAACTTGTTGGAGAGCTTAGGTTGAGTCTTGATCCACTTCGAAGTAGAGTGATCAGAGTAGACAGTGAAATGCCTCCCTAACAAGTAGTGTTTCCAAGGTATCTAGTGCAACAACTAAGGCATA